AGAAATTTATCGGAGCTCTTATAGTGAGTGAAATATGCAGAAATTCTGAGAAAATGTACTTCTTGTATATATAGTGAACAGGAAAAAAAGAGATGAGTTATAGAGTATGGCCAAGGCTCTCTTTTTTTTGCATATATACTTGACACACTTTGCTGTAGCTCCTCACACAACGATTGGGCTCTGTGTCATTCCACTTCACTGACCTATGTGTTGTTGTCGTCGTCGTCGTGGGAGATGGAGGCGCATTTCGGACCAAGGTCATGCTGTGTGCTGCTCAAAATCTCCCTCGACCCTTTCTATAATATTGGCAGATTAGCGTATTTATTCTCCCATCAGATGAGTCATTCAATGGGAAGAAGACTGAGTCATTGAATATTATCGACTTTGTTTCAATCAGAAATCTTTAAAAAGAAGTATAACCCACAGGTTTTTATTGGTTATATATTATATCTTGGTTAATAATAAAGATTTTTAAAATGTGCACAACATCTTAACAAAATTGAGATCGCAAAGTTTGCTACCTGTTTTTCTGCACTAAAAGAAATATCCATAGCTTTACTGTTTTTTAACATATCTTCAATCTTGCAAAACATATTTTCCAATGAGGCATATTGCTGATTAAAATTGCCAGTCATCCTTTTTGATGAAAATTGGCTCAAGCAAACAAAACCCACTGCTGGTGGTACAAGACAAAGTTGACCCACTTGGGGCATTTTCAATGAGTAAAGTACCGTACAATATTTGTGGGTGCTTAAAAACAGGCAAAGAAATTGAATTCAATTCTAAGTGACCGGGGAATTTTTTGCAGTTATGGAGGAGGCCGAATGAGACACACATTATCACGCCCATCAGGAATGCTGGGTCACCTGGTATGCGTCGTGTCAAGTCACGACGGGCACCGAACCCATCGGACAATCGTCAGCAGCCATCTTTGTCATCATCGTCATCATCATCATCAGCATCAACAACAACCCGCAATAACAAAATAGGTGCGTTTTCTTCCGAGAAAATACCCCATTTACTTGCTTATTTTTAGGGATGAATGGATGATAGACAGAATTTTCTTGACCCATGAGCAAAATTAATCTGCTGAAATCAATAAAAGTGTCATACATATCTCCATATACCTTATGATTCTGCTTGATGAAAGAAAAGTTTTAATTATTTCCAGTTCATGGCGCAGTTAAAAAATATGGACAAAAATTTTATGACTTTTCTGGATTCAGGCTGAATTTCCCCCCAAAAAATTGCACACCTTTCTCTGCTGGATATCTCTGTTGAGGAATTAATCAACCCAACATGAAGAATTTTGCAGTGGAAGAAAAGGTGGGAAATAATAAGGCAGGGCAATCAGCCGGTTTGTGGCCAGGAATATTTAATTAAGGAGGTACCTTAATTACATATCCCTAGTTTTGTCTGGTTTAATCAAAGTCAACGATAAATCACACAAACACAATAAAAAAATGATGCATCACAATAAAGTCAATGATGCAATGACGCATTCAATGAAAACAATAAATTTGTGCACACAAATTTAGGGTGCAATAATGCAATGCAACAATTCAATCAGAAGAATTGGGGTTGGAATCTTTGGAGGAAGTAGCTAATTTAGAGGACCGATTATTGGGAGTGGAAGAGTGCTGGGTTTTTATGCAATCTAGCACAATGCTTCTGTCAGCTGACCTGACCAAAGCATTGAGCATTTTTTCTTGCCTGCGATTGGCAGAAAAAATGTGCATCAAAGAAGTCATGCATCCCAGGAATGGATGCACAAAGGAAAACCAAACCAGAATCCAGGTCCTGGGACCTGATGTTCCTGAGCCCCAGTTCTGGTTCCCCAACAATATCAAATGAAACACAATTTGGCGTTTCGCATTATCTTCCTCTCAGCCAAAAAAAAAAAACCTGCCAATTTTTTCTTCAATTCATGTCCCAGCCACTGTATTTGTCTTTTTGCATTTTCCAAATCTAAAAATCAATATGGCTATATATAATTGCATAATCGCAGGAACACGGTTACATAATCGATGAATACTTCCAACTTTTTCAAAATAATTAATACTGCATTCAGGAACCGAGTCGTTATCTGTTGCTGTTGGTGATGGACTCGATGACCTGATGTCGGTGTCACAGGACGAGGCAGCACCGACACCACCTCGGCGACGAGTGTCGTGTCGTGGAACACAAACGACAATCAATGACGCCGTCCTGATGACCTCCACAAGTCAAAGTGGAATAAGCAATAACAGCTGCAGTCATAATCATCATAATGATGATGATTATGAAGAAAACAGATTGATGAACCACGATGATGGAGCACGTGTCTTGACTGAGGTTAGTTTCCTCGACATGAAACTTATCTTGGGCATACAAATATTTTTTGAAGCATACGAAAATTTGAAGAGTGGAAACTTCTTTTAATTCTCCTGCTGTGCTAATTTCTCTAATTCACTAATCCATATGCCTTGATTTATACAATTGATGTATACCGTATTTACTCAAGTACCACATGCACTTTTTTTCTCAAATTTCAAAGGAAAAAAAGGGGTGCGTGTCATAAGTGGGTACACATTTTTCAAGAAGTTTTAGGAAGTTATGTGTGCATTATACTTCATTGTAATGGAGAAATTTGGAAAAAATGTAACAATAAAGAAAACTTTTTTGCACTGAAAAAGTTGAAAATTGATCAGATTTTTGTTCAATTCATGTCTAAAGTTTATTTTTTGTTTTTATTTTCAAAATTTTGTGGATTTAGATGCACTGACAATTGGGGTGCTCATCTTACTCAGGGATAAGATTTCAGCAAAATTTTGAACTGAAAAACCCCTGTGCGTGCCTGATTTGAGGGCGTGTGGTACTTGAGTAAATACGGTATTTAATTTAACAAAGTGTCTCAAAATTTGACTGCTTTGCAATTTGACCCTAGTTTGGCAATGGATTAGGGTCAAATGGCAAGGTATCCCACCTGTACTGTACTTTGTCAAGTTGTCTACACAAAGCTTGCCACATACATTGCATACAATAAGCTGTGTAAATTGCTCCTGCACTTGAAGTATCCCTTCTAATTTGGAGATTTTATATAATAACCGTTGATAATTTAAGAGTGATTGTGGGTAACAAATACATTCAACCCTCAAACAATGGACTTAATTTCTGCCACAGACTAGTCTGTTGTTTAAAAAGTTTGTTATGCAAATTAATTTATTACAAATAAACATTTTCACTTTTTACCATCAAGTTATTGAAACCAATCAACAGAAGTCTGGCAGGTGGATTTAGTCCATTGCGTGGGAGGGAAAACTGCCTCCAGAGGCAGTCTGTTGTGCAAACATCTGTTGCATGGGAGGTCCATTGTTTGATGGGGGCCAACTGTATACAGTATATGGAGCTTGATTAATATCAATGTTCAAGTGCCTCATTTGTGCTGGCCAGCATAGCTTGAACATCACACTCAATTCTGATGTGACAGAATGAGCCTGCATATATTAGATGATGGATGAGCAGCAGGAAAGAGATGAACGCTTTGTCTTTTCCTTTATTGTGTGGGTGTGTGACGCACGTCTAAAAGTAATTTTCTGAGAAAAGAAGAAGAAGCCCTGTATTCAGAGAGAAGCCACCACCACCACTTCTTCTTTTCTTTCTTCATGCTATTATATTGTTGTAAAGAATAAATGGCTTGGTGGCAGAAAATAACACTGGCATTCCGAGTGAGTGTCTCTGCAGCAGCACCTGTTGCTGGTGATTCTTGATTCTTTTTGTTGTTGAAAAGATTTGCTTATTGTGTTTTCCCATAGACGCTGAATGAAAAGCTGGACGAAATCGAGGCACTCAGGATGAAGCTGAAAGATGTCGAGGAAGCTCTTCGATGTTCGGTGAATTTTCTAGTCTATACATAATTGTACAAACTGTGTGAACAGTGTTTTATATTAGATGACACAGGTCAAACGAGGTGAAGACATGTTTCACAATTTTTGCCAATTACGGTCCACACAAATCTGAACGAATACCTTTGTAGCAAATTCGGCTATATTCGCTAATATTGCTCAATTTTCTGCATTTGTTTAAATATATTTTGATTAAACTGATATTTTTATTGTAAAAACTTTCTTATACTGCTGTGCTTCTGCTGAAAGATGAGTGTTTCTCAAGTAAAATGCATGTTTTTGTTTTTCCCAGTATAAGTTCATTTTTCTCATCTTTTTTCATTGTTAACTTTTTAGAGAATATATATGCAACTAATTTTTTTTTGGTGTGCCTAATGGAAGCTTGTTATTTCAGTATAGCAAAATTTTATTCTCAAAAATTTCGGCCATTTTGGGAACGAATAAGCTTTATTTGTGTAAATGCCATAATGTCACTCTTTGAACTCTTGAAGAGTTTTCCAGAATCATGATTTTTTTGGAGTAGTAAAAGCAGCGATTTAAATCCACGAACAGCAGGGATTTTTCGCCAAATCAACAGACTGCTGATGAGAAAAAAATGAGCTCGTTTCTCATTGATTTGATGCTAATAATTAATCTGGTGTTGCTCAGCTTCACAGTGTCGAAATGACATATAAACCAATAATTATTATGTTTTGTCTTCCCCCCCTTTTTTTTACAAATAGACCGAATTGCTGAGGAAGACAGAAGAAGCCAAGGAAGAACAGGTGAGATTTTCAAATGAGTCAACTTCTGAATATATTTATTCATTTTACAACCTATAGAATAAGTCGAGATTTTTTCATCGTTCACTGAAATCATATATTTTCATCCGTTGGAATGCTATTTCATAATAAATTTTATGCATAAGTCTTTATTATTTACGTTTATGAAATGTGACAAACGCATTTATCATATCTGAATTTTCAAAATCTGGATTTATTTTTTTTAGAACATGCGTGTCTCGTCGGTGTTTATTTTGTTAGTTTCTATTTATTTTTGCTCACATTCCGCGGGATATTTGAGAATTACTTTTCGCCAAGGTAATCCAGATATGGAGGGGTTGGGTTGAGTTGGTGTCATCGTTTCTGTTCCGGCGGATCTGTAGCCGGAAGCTGCATTATCCTGAGTGTGTGTGTGTGTGTATGCATCATAATATGTACTATATACAGCAGATGATACCCGGCTTTGAAGTTTTCTCGGATTTCACATTTCCCCCGAAAATCATCCTTGCTCCCTTTTCACACTGTAAGCAACGCCAAAAGAGTAGGAAAATAAGAGACAATGAAATGACACTGCGAAAATGAAACGGATCCCTCAAGCATACGTTTTTTAGCAAGGGGTCCTCAGTAAGTTTTGGCTAGAAATTACAGGAAATTGAGTAAAGACGGATTTTTAAATTTTAATGACCAATATTATGCATTGAAATGAGGCACATGTCAAGCTATATACATTATACAGTATATATTCTAGATTCAGGCATAAGCGGTGCTTGGACCTTATTTCTATTTGTTCAAACATCCATGCATTATCAGGTCATGTTTACCCATATATGTCAAATGTTTAACAAATATTCAATTGGTTCTCAATACTTAGGAACAAAGTCCCCGAAAATCGAATGCATTCTCCTTCATCCTCAAAATATATACAGACAAAAACAGTGCAGAGTGAAATATTGCAGTACAATATCTGCTATTTTTTGAAGGAGCTCAAAGAACAAAACAAGTCTGTGTACGTATACTGTACTGTCTTGGGCATAATGCGAAAAATTTTTCACAGAATTAGCCTATTTTGAATCATGAACTAGAGTAATTTCATGATGAAATATGTATTCATAATTTTTTTTATATGAATACAGTAGCTCAATTTGTTCAATAACAAATACTGGTGGTGCCCCATGATTCAATCCTACTCCATTGCTGGACTATAGGGTCAAATTGTGAAGCAGTCGAATTGCAAGGCAATGTCAAATTCAATGTTTTCTACGTTGCATTTGATGCTCTTAATCTTTACGTGGATCAAATTGAGGGGCAGAGATTGAATTGCAAGTCAACCTCCCAGCAAATGTGACCATCAAATTGTAGGATGGGGAAATGGCATCAGGTGGTCAGATTGTGA